TCTGTAGAACTCACTTGGTTTGAGGGTATTGAACACGCAATCCTAAGGCTCACCCCCATCCATTGCTCTGGTGGCTATGTTATGTATTTCTGTTTTTATGAAATCTGCCCCATATCTTCTAGTGGTCTGCCAGAGTTTAGAATGGCATCCTGGGCAATGAGTAAGATAAAATAATCTATATTAAATAAAAGAGTTATCGAATTCAGCCCTGGAAGATGCCTTGGTCATGCCATTCAACTACCATCAGTTTCACCTATCATTCCTACCATCAGCATGTATCATTTTACAGAGAAAAAAATTCCAGAATTTCAAAATTGGAAGGGACCTTAGAGCCAATCAAGTTGAAATTATTTTTGACAGAGAATTACCTCTACCATGTCAGCCTGGTTTAGTGGATAGGGTGTTGGATTTGGAATTAGTAAGACTTGGGTTCAAATCTTGTTTCAGATACTCACTGTGTGACCCTGGGACAAATCACTTAACCTCTCTGTGTTTGGACACAATGACCTCTAAGGTCCCTTTCAACTCTACAGCTATGATCCTAAGATCACTCAACAAACAATCATCTAGCCTTTGCTTAAAGATTTCCAACGGAGGTAAAATTGTCTTCCTAGGTTCCCTATTCACTCTTGGATATCTCTAATTGTTAGAAAATTTTTCCTTATATCAAGCCTACATCTACCTCTCTGCAACTTCGGCTCATTACTTTTGGGGCTGCCAAATTGAAATACCTACAAAAAATGCCATTTGAAGTATCCAGTAGGCAGTTGGAAGCATTTTGTCCCGAAGGTGAAAAATTTTTGTGTTACTTTTGTTTGGCCAAGAAGGCATGTGACAGCTTTTCAAATATTTGAAGATAACTAGTATGTCTCTTCTCTAGGCTAAAGATTTCCCGTTCCTTCAACTTATTCTTTTATGACATGATTTTGAGGCATAGCAACAGGTGGTCACCCTCTTCTGGGTACATTACAGTTGCTGTTGTTCAGTGATATCCGACTCTTTATGACCCCATTTGGGGTTTTCTTCACAAAGATGCTGGAGTAGTTTGCCATTTCCTTCTCCAGGTAATTTTACAGTTGAGGAAACTGATGCAAACACAGTTAAGTGACTTGCCCAGGGTCATATAGCTAATAAGTGTCTGAGACTGGATTTGAACTCAGGTCTTCCTGACTCCAGGCCCAGCACTGTCCACTATGCCACTTAGCTGCCCCAAAATGTGGTAACCAGTACTAAATATAACTTATCAGGATTATGACTGGAGTATGGTAGGTAGCCAGTATGGACACTGGCTCTCTTAATGTCACCCAGTAGCATTAATGTAGCTTTTTAAAGTTGTAAAGCCATTTATAAATATCTCATTTATCCTCACTGCAACCCTAGGAGGTTGGTGCTATTGTATCTCTAATTCATAGATGAGAAAATTGAGGCAGGCAGAGGTTAAATGACTTGTTCAGTGTCATGCAGCTAGTGTCTGAGGCAGAATTTGAATTAAGGTCTGCCTGACACCAGGCCCAGAATATTGCTGACTACCACCACCTATCAGTCAACAAGCATTTATGAAACATTTGTCAGGCACTGCGCTAAGCAGTGGGGATGCAAAATAAGACAAAACTATTTCTGCCCCTAAGAAGCTCACATTCTATTGTGGAAGACAACATGAAAACAACTACACAAATGCACTTGGAGGTAGCCATTTCCCATAGGAGGAAACCTGCTTAGTTTCCAACTTTGGGCTACCATGAAAAGAGCTGCAATAAATACTTTTGTACACATAGATCTTTTTCCTCTTTTTAAATTTCTTTGGGGGGATATAGGTCTGTTTCTTCTCTGTTACAACTCTTTTCTTCTTGCCCTGATACTGATCCTGGGTTTTACTCTTCTTCTTTACCTCCTCTTTATGTGCCCCCCTAATACTTTTTATTTTGCTTAGGACTATTCCCTTACCTATTCCTCATTCCTTTTTAGCTACCTCTTTACCCTTCCCTTCTTCCTTCTCCCTTCTAATTCCCTTGTGAATTAAATGTATTTCTTTACCACAATCTGTGTGTGGGTGGGGTTTTGTGTAATTGTGTTCAATACTCCTTTATCTAGTTCAGAACAAAGTGAGGTTCATGGTATCCCTATTCTCTCCACCCTTTCCTCAATGGCTATGTGCTCTTTGTTTTATTTACTGATATTGTGCAATAATGCTTTCCTTCCCTGTATTCCTCCTTTCTTCAAGTATAGTCCTTTGTTTCTCCCATTTTTGTCATTTCCTAAGACTATTAGAACAAAACTACTCACAGACCTTCTGTCATTTTCGCCTTTTCTCCTATGGCTCTTAATGACATTAGGGTTCCAAGAAGACATTTGTTTCTTATCATTCTATTAACACATAAACAATTCATCCCCACATATTCCTTTTCAATTAAACATGCATATCTTTCTGTGTTTCTCTTGGTGCCTGTCTTTCCATGCCAAAATATTTGAGCTGAGTCTTAAAGGAAGCCAGGGCAATTGGGAAAAAGAGATGTGGAAGGAGAGTATTCCAAGAATGGGATATGGACATGAAAAGGCACAGAGTGAAGATACGGAGTGTGATGTATGAAGACCAGCAAGAAGAACAGTGTTGCTGGATCATAGAGTTTTTAGAGGGGGAAAGAGTGTAAAGAGACTAGAATAGAACAAGATACTCTATAACAGCTTTTTTGGCTGCTTTATTATACTAATAACTCATATTGATCTTGAAGTCCATTAAAACCCCATATGGTTTTCATATTAACTACCATCTAATGGCATCTCCCCTATCCTATACTTCTGAGGTTGATTTTTTGAAACAAAGTGCAAGACTTTACATTTATCCTCATTAAATCTCATCTTTTACTTTAAATCTAACTTTCTAGCCTGTTGAGATATTTTTGGAACCTATCATATACATACATACATACACACATACACATATATGTGTATATATATACATATATATGTATATGTATAATATAATATATCTTTTAAATCTAATGTTCTAGCCTGTTGAGATATTTTTGAATATATATACATATATACATATATATATATGTGTGTATATTTTTTGACACATTTCTTTTACTTTAGTGTTCTAGCCTGTTGAGATATTTTTGGAAACTATCATATATACATATATATCATATCTTTTTAATTTCAGACTAATGTTCTAGCCTATTTAGATATTTTTGAATATATATACATACATACATATGTGCATATGTATTTTTTTGATGTGATATCTCTTTTACTGTAAGTCTAATGTTCTAGCCTGTTGAGATATTTTTGGAAACTATCATATAACAAGTTTGCTATTCTTTTCTAGCCTTCCATCATTTGCTGATTTGATAATCATACCATATGCCTTTATGTGTAGCAAGAAATTGCTACATATAAATTGCAAGGGATAACTGGGGTTCTACACTAAAGGCCCTTCCAACATTGACATAGCTTGACTAATGATAACTCTTTGCACCTGGTCATTCAACTAGTTCCAAACATACCTAAATACAGATACTTTTGCCTAGCCATGCCTTTCTGTCTTGTCCATGAGTATTTAGTTGTTTTTTCTTTTGGCATGTTTCTCAGAGGCAGGATCTTGTAGGCAGTTGACTATTCTTTAGCCATGGCCCCTGCCCTTTGCATGAGGCAAGGTCGCATTCTAACTTTAGACCAATGATGACTACACTTTTTTTGTTCATATACTCTTATGAGTAATAAATAAAATAAAATAGAATAAAGAGATTGAACATGTGCCCCTAATATATGTATATTTACTAATTTATGTTATAAGATGTGCTGCTCCATTAATAATTATGTAGATTACAAAACTTACATAGTAATTTAAATAATAAAGAACAACAAATAGATATAATTTATTTACAAATAAAATACTCATAAAGTTATTTATAAAAATGGATAATAATAAAAAATAAGAAAGGATGGAAAAAATGAAATAATATTTGATCTTAGGATCATTACAGAGCCATAGCGGTTTATTGAGTAACGGTGTCACATGGTCAGACCTCCGCTTTAGGAAAATCTCTTCGGCAGCTGGGTGGAGGATTGTTTGGAGAGGGGAGAAGTTGGATGCAGGGAATACAAATTGAATCTCTTGACTTCTGCCTCTACCTACTTATCCACTTTTTTCTTTTTCCTCCCTTCTTTGTGTTTCGTCAAATCATCTCCAACGCAGCCATATCTTCAGAAAGAGCTTAATTAGAGTAGCAAAAGAGAACAGAAGCATGCTAACCTCATAGCACTAACCTTATATCACAGACCACAACTTTCATTTAATTCCTGCTCCAGCCCCTCAAGCAGCAGGGAAGATAAGAGACCAGAAATGCAGTTCTTGGCTACTTGCAGCTCCCATCTCTCTGCTCTGCCAGGAGCTGAACAAAGGCAATTGACTCACAAACAAATGAAGTGTTTCAGCTGCACTAATGAGTGCAGGGACCACAGGATGCCTCCATGGTTCTCCAATGGCCAAATAAAGTGCACGCATCCATCTAATTCTACACCTTCAGTACCAAAATGAGATTTATTCAGTTTTCCTAAAGGCAAAGAGCAGGCTGGTTTCTACAAAGGTAAGAGGTGGGGGAGGGAAGGGAATAAGAATTTATGTAGTACCTACTATGTGCTAGGCACTGTGCTAAGCACTTTACAAATCATTTGTTATCCTCACAACAATCCTAAAAGGTAGGAGTTATTATCATCATCGCCATTTTACAGTTGAGGAAACTGAGGCAAGCAGAGGTTAAGTAACTTTCCCAGGGTCACACAACTAGTAAAGTGGCTGAGGCTGGATTTGAATTCAGGTTTTCTTGACTCCAGACCCTGAGCTCTATCCATTATTCTACCTAACTTTTTCTCAGTAAGGATCTGGAGGGGTACAAAGAGGGCTCATTCAGTAAGCATTTAATGAATAGTTTTTTTGTTCATTTGTTATTTCACTCATTCAATTATTCTAACTACTATACTTACCCTCTGTCTTCCAGTGTCCTTTCAAATCTGTCTGCCCCTGCTGCTGTCGTCATCTTCATGGGTAGCAAACCAAACCGTAGCATAAGGAAACCATATCTGCAACGTTTCCCCAATTTGTGGGCTAATAAATTTGTCCAAAAAAGTAATGAAGGTCACCTGACATGCACTCTTCTGTAAGTAATCAGGCCCACAAAGAGATGGGACCTGTCTAAGGCTATACGGGTAAGTAAGTAGCAGAACTGGGATTTAAGTACCCCTGACTCAAAATCCATTATTCTTTCCACTTTGCTATGTTTTCCATAGATGGAAGAGATAATATGGCATCTAATTCCAAGAAATCCGTGATATGATAGAGTTCATAATCCATAGCTCTGTATTTTGATGAAGGTGAAGAAAAAAAAAAGCATTGTCTTTGGAGTCAGAGGACCTGGGTTCAAATCCTGGATCTGATACTACTTGTTTAAACTTAACCAACCTGGTCCTCAGTTTCCTGCTCTATAAAATAAGAGAGATTGAACTAGATGACCTGAGGTCCCTTTCAGCTTTAGTTCTGTAATCTAGCCCTTCCTGCCCATTTTGTGTAACTATGGACCAAGTCCACAATAGAAAATTTACTTGATATAATATACGCCTTCCTTGTGTTCTTTTGAAATTGCATGGCTACCATTGAAGCATGGGATTGTATATTGTTGCTACATAACTGGCCCATTTTTTTTCTTCAAATCATACATTTCTTTAATGAAACATTTTACACTACTTCTCCTATACAATTTCTTATTGGTAATGTTTGCAAACTACTCAAGGCTCCTATGAGATTCTTCATTGGCCTTTGAGTGACCCTCAACTTCAGTTCTTCTGACACTAGAGTATTCCACAGCTCACAGTCTTACAACGTCACTGGAATGATGGAAAAAGGAGTTTCCCTGAGATGGAGCTGTTCATTTTCTCCTTTCTTACTATCTACTCTTCCATTTAACTCAATAAACACTGACCAAGTACGTACTACGTACATATCACTGGAACAGGCATTGCAAATCCAACAACAGATCCAACATAGGATTTGCTCTTAATCAGCTCACAATTTAATGGAAAGGGGAGAACAAGTGCATACATAATTTTAAATGAAAGGCAAGTGAAATAAGTGTGAAAGACAGGTCAAGACAAAGGGACATTAAAACTTTTAAGAGGGAATTGTCATTTTCACCCCGGGGGGGAGGAGAAAAAAAAGGTCAAGGAAAGATGAATGGAAGTAGAATTTGAGGTGGGCCTTAAAGAGAGAGAAATGAACCGATAAAAATGAAGGTGATGAATTCATGCCAGACAAGTGGTAAATCAGTATATACAAATGCAGAGAGATGGAAGGAGGCTGAATGAAAATGAGAGTTTGTCTTGGTAGGAAAATAGAATACATAAAGAGAAATATACGAAATGGCTCTGGACAGGTTAATTGTATATTATTTATACTTGATAGGTGGGCAATGAGATGCTGATGAAAGCAGGTTCTTCTTATTCATTCTTGCTCAGGAGTCCATTCAATTTAATTCAATAAACATTTATTAAGCACCCAGTATATGTGTAGCGCCACTCTGCAGTCCTGCATTGCTCTATCTCAGAAGATAATTAGAAATGTGGCCAGTGTTTTGTTGGGTTAATGTTCTCTTTCGGCGGAAGGGTATAGGAGTGAGGCAAGAGCAATAGCAGGGTATTGCTGTCTCTTATTATTCTGACTAGTGATCTGGCTTTATAGGAATTCTTTCCCTCTGATTTATCTTGGTTCCTATGCCATATATATTTCTCCATGTTACTGTAACCAGCAACGGTGGTTAGGGATGCACGTATGTATGTATGTGTGTATGTATGTATGTGAGCACTCGCAGCAATATTTTGGGTTTGCTTAATTTTCATAATGTGCCCCAGTGACTCATGGGCATCAATCAGTGGTGAAATTCTGAATGACCTGAAATCATGGTGAATAGGTGACCCCTAGAAAATACCATTGGGGAAGATTGTGCTACTCTTTTCTAGAGATAGCGTAAAGGACAAGAGTGATGTCTAGGTCCCTTATAAGGAGTTGGTAACAGAGGAAAACTTCCTCCCACCTCTTTCCTGTCAAGTCAATGTATGTCAGCACTGTAGCTTAGGAGGAATATCTTGAGGAGAAACTATAATTCAAGAAGAAATCAAAGATTTTCTGTTTCCTGAATGTGTGTGTATATGTGTGGGAGTACATTCCCCTATGAAGGAATGCAAACTTCTGTGGTCTCAACCTCACCATGCCATTGTACAAAAGCCTTATTATTTCTCAATTTCTTCCCTTCCCCTAAGCAGAGAGATTTTGAGGAAGAATATATTAAATCATGAGATGCATCTATGTGCTAGGGCAACAGTTCTTTTAGCATCTATATAAAACTGAGATTGCTATCACTATTGTCGGGGGGGGGGGCTTTTCCCTATGCCTACTCTTGTTGGCAGATGGGTGATAGAGTAGATAGAGTGGAGGGCCTACAGTGAGGAAGACCTGCATTCAGATACTGCCTCAGACACTTACTGGCTGTGTGTACATAATTGTTTGCATGTAGCATTTATTCAGTTCTTACTGTATGCCAAGCAATAAGCTAAACATTAGATATGAAAAAGGAAAAGCATAATCTCAGCCCTCAAGTATTTCAAATTCTAAATGGGAAATACTCTAGAATTTCTACTGTTGATGTCATTTGGTAACTTCTCTTATAGCCTTCTAGAGTTGAGAAGTTGAGTGATTTGTTCATGGTAGCCCAAGCCAGTACATGTTAGAGAGGGAACATGAACTCAGGTTTTATGACTTTAAGGATGTTTATGTCTCTACTAGCCTACACTCGGGACGTTTATATTTAGCAATATTAAAACAACAATACCCTATAACTATATAGCACATAATAAAGTCTTAATAAATGCTTTTTGATTGATATGTGATATACATTTATATATATATATTATGAAATGTACACATAAAACATATATATATGTGTATATATATATATATATAGACTTATGCACAGATATATTCTTACAGTCATGAGAAGGCATTGATATGGCTGGACACCAACTCACCACATTAGGAATTCATGTGTACATCTGCTGATGACCTAATCATTAGGGCAGGCCAATCCATCAATACCAGTCACTGGACAAGATTACTTTAAATTAAAAAAAAAAATCCTACCTCCCAAGACCACAAGTTTCCAGCAAATGTTTAGAAACATCATTAAAAGCTCTTTCAAAGAGCAAGGGAGTAGATACCTAGATGTGCTTTAGCTTTTTCCTAATTTGTCTTGACAGACTGTACTGAATCTGACTCAGCCTCAGGATACTTTATAATTTTCCCTTGAAATTCTCAATGATAAGGAAGTATCTACACTCTAAGTGCTCTTTTTATCTCTTGCATTTTTTTTTTCACAAAGTCTATACTGAATGTTTTGATTCTGACTTGGGTACAATGTAGGGTCAGATTCCTTTCATATGTGAAAACAGGAGTTACTAAAATCTAACTCCAGCCTGGTATCAGCCTTCTTGTGTCTCCTCCCGCCATTTGTAGCCACCTAAGCCACAGGAGTGAGGAACCTGTGGCCTCGATGCCACATGTGGCCCTTTAGGTCCTCAAATGTGGCCCTTTGATCCAAACTTCACAGAACAAATACCCTTAATGAAAGGATTTGTTCTGTAAAGCTTGGACTCAGTCAAATGGCCGCACCTAAGGACATAGGAGGCCACGTGGGGACTGGAGGCTGCAGGTTCCCCGCCCTTGGAGGGGATAAGTTACTAGATAGTTTCGTTTTCTTCAGTGATGTGAGCATACTGAGTTATGTGAAGTAGGATATCTTGCTTTTTCTTAGTTTCTCCATACACAAAATGCAGTTCTAATGCCTCCCATTCATCTGTGAAGTGGGTATTGAGAATCATACACAGCTACTACAGTGGTTGAGGACTACTGGACCACAGAAATTCATTAATAGGAGCACACATATCCACGAAAAGTGCAAATGCTAATGACATAAATGAAGTGGAGTCTTTGGAATGCTTTGTAAGGAAATAAGATTTAGGAAGTGAAATTAAAGCTGAATATTCCAGTGTAAATAAGAGTAAAAACAACTGATTGTGAAAACAAGTCTCTAAAGGAAAGAAGTAAAATTGTATCAATTGGTACACAAATCTGGATTCTATTATAGCACCCTAAATTTCAGCATTGGAAATTACCTCAATGACCATCAAGTACAACCCTTAGCCAGAAAGGCATCCTGACAAGTGGTCATTGAGTTTTTGCGTGAAGACTTCCAAAGGAGGGAATCCACTCCCCGTGGAAGCAGCCATTTCCCTTTGGAATAGCTCTAATTGTTGTTAGGAAATTTGTCCCTACATTAAGATTAAATTTGTTTTGCAATCTCCACCCAGCGTTCCTGTTTCTGTCCTCTGGGGCCAAACACACCAAATCTAATTTCTCTTCCATGTGACAGCTCTTCAAATATTTAAAGACAACTATTACATCCCCACTCAGTTTTCTCTTTCCTCTTTTAAACATTCTCTAAGGTGATACTATTTATAGCATAGTGTCTAGTGAATAGTAGGTATTTAATAAATGCTTGCTCCATCCGCTCTATTGATTCCAGATCCTTCCTTCCTTAGAAATACCCTTCCTAACCTGTGGCACCTAATATTTAAAAGAATATAACAGATTCACTCATCAGATCAGAATACAGTGAGACTATTATCTCCCTGATCCTGGATACTATGCTACTCTTAATGAGCCCCAAGTTTGTGTTAATGTTCTCATTTGCCATGGCACACTATTGACTCACAATTACAGGCTGCCAAAACCACAGATCTTTTTCTTATCAACTAACTGCTGCCTAAGCGTGCGTCTAAGTGGCATATAGAAAGGAAGTGGCTTTAAAGATAGGAAGACCCTACTTCAAATCCTGCCTCAGATACCTACTTGCCGCATGACCCTGGGCAAGTTTTTTAGCCTCTCAGTCTCCATTTCCTCAACTATAAAATGGGGATAATAATAGTACCTACTTCACATCATTACTGTGAAGATAAAATGAGGTAACCTATGTACAGGAACCTTAAACAACTATGTAAATATCAGCTATTACTATTAGTATGTGCAACTTATATGTCTGTACATTGCTACATTAAAATGCTATCTTGTGTATGTGAAGTCAATTTCATGAACCCAAATGTAAAAACCTATATTTATCCCTTTTAAATTCCATCTTATTAGATCCATCCCAATATTCTAGTCTTCTGAGGTAGATTTCAATCCTGACTCTATTATATCAATGTATTAGCTATCATTCCCAGCTTTGTGTTATCTGCAAATTTGTTAAGGAGCTTATCCAAAAGGACTCCTTTATACAAACTGTGCCTGTATTCATTGTTCCTGAAGTGCTTGAGAAATTAACAGAACTGATCGTGAGTTTATCTTCCTTTTCTAGGTTTCTGATTAACAACCAGAACCAAAGCTGAAGATTAGCCCCTCTGGTCTTGTGTAGCCCTTACCAGTGTAACCTGGCTTCCCTGCCCAACCTGGAGCATTTTGCATAAGGCTCTTATAACTGGTGGAGAAAATGCTGATGTGATGCTACCTGCTTGTGTGAGGAGGAGAATTTGCCTTTGAGCTTTGGAGAGGAGAGACTCTTTATTTCTTCTTTGAGATGCTCATGGTTCCTGATTCTTTTTGGGACTGACTCCAGGGATGCAAAAAAGAAAGATTGTTTTGCCAGCATGTAGAGGAGACTGGCTCTTCAACATGTCAACTTGCCTCCCTAGAGACTCCAGGGAATTTGTCTTTGTGAGAGATCAGGATCTCTTTCTATTTCTCTTGATTGAGTGAAACCTCATCTCATTGCCATCTAAGAAACTTACTCACATTTGGGTCTTTTTTGGTATAGCTTTATTATTATAACTTCTCTTTTCTACTTCTTTTTGCTACTTCTCTTTGCTACTTGTGTGGATTTACTCACTGTTCACTATTTGTGATGTTCTTTTGTGTAACCAGTGTTTGGCAGGAAAAGGTGAAACATTAAATATAAACTTGGGGTACCCTTCCCCTAAAGAATAGTGTCCAGGAAAGACTTTTTTTTGTTATCAACCAATGTGTCCCTAGACCAGCAATATTTTTGGATGATCTACATCTGTATTGATATCAATATCAGTATCTATGATATCAATATCAATATCTATGTCCACTTTGCATCTATCTGCTGCTCTTCCTGGTTTCAATTCGATGGAACAAGATGTCTCTAAGCCAGGTACTCCCTGGTGTCCTCCACCCCTTTCATGCCTCCTTTTCTGTGTTGTCTTCCCTCCAATAGACTAAGTTTCTTAAGAGCAGGAGTTGTCTTTTTTTTTGGGGGGGGGGTATTCCCAGTGCTTAGCACTGTGCCTGGTACATAGGAACTTAATAAATGTTTATTGGAGAGAAGTGAATATCATATCCAAATTATCTATATGTATACTTATGTCATCTATATATCATTCTAATCTGGTATTCCTCTCCCAGAAGACAACAGAGTGGCCCACCTCTTAGCTCTTGTCCTGGTCCCCTCAAGGTCAGAATCACTGTTTCCCTTGGAGAGGAGAGGACAAAATTTCAGAGATACCTGTCAATGCCTCCAGTAGAGTTACCTGTCTATATAGTTAAACATACAGTGTAGACAAACACATGATAGGCATCACATACCTTACATTCCTTATACTAGGAAGAATAAAATGTTCAGATTTGTGAATGAGGCCTCTTCCTAAAATGTCTATTGTTCTTTCCTTTTACATAAAATTCTTGGACTCAGTCAACATACTTACACATCCATAAGTTGAAATCTTTGCTGAACTTACTTTGCTATACAATATTCTGACCCTTTCACCGTGCTATATATCCAGTGATCAAGGGATTTTTTTAAAAAGACCTTTCTATTCACAGCTGTTCAAGTTATGTGGGTATTTGTGAGCATTGGGTGAGCACTGGTTTTTAGTGAGAAATTATTTTACAATTTGAATTCATAGTAAAAGCTTTAAAAACATGATCTGAACTGGAAAATGACTTCTGTAATATCTCTGGAGGGAAAATCCTTTTATTAATACAATCAGCTATTGGATGTCATTCTTCTTACTTAATTATGTTTATCTGCCAATGGGGTAACTATGTTTTTTATGCTTGTAATTTTGGTGGGTGCAAATGATGCCTGGAAATGATTGTTCTGAATGAAAGAATTGCTGGTATTTACTCATGAGTGTCTGCATTGTAAAGGCTATGTTAGAAATTTAACCCTTTATCTGATGGTTTGAGAAAGTGAGAAAACTGGTTTTCTAGGTTTTCAAGGGTGAATGTAGAGTCAGAGATGGAATACATTGGTAGTGCTCTTTTCAGACCCATAAGAATAGGGTCCATTCCTCCTTGAAAAGACAACGTACCCAAAATATAAATGAAATCTATACTTCCTTCAAGACATACTTCCTTTATGAAGGCTTGCCTAACTTACTCAAGCTTACAGTGATTTTTCCCATCTCTGAATTGCTTGTGCTTGTGGTCTGTGTTGGACATTATGACATTTAATTATCTACTTAATTATACACATACAAACACAATTTTTTTCTCTCTGATCTATAAGTGGGTGTTTTGTTACCCCCAAATAGATTATAAACCTCTTGAGTTTATAATAAGTTTAAAATATTTATAGCATTAAATGTATAATAAAAGCCATATAACCATGAGCCTTCAGAATAAGATTTTAATGGTGGGTGGCAAATACATTGAAGTTAGTTTATGTTAAGAATGATGGAAAAGGAGCATACTTAATAGTCAGCCCTTGATCCTGAATTTTGTAGACAGAGGATGTGAATTCAAATTCCTGCTCTGATACTATCTGTGTGACCTTGGTAAGTTACTTTACCTCATTCAGCCTCAGTTTCTTCATCTGTAAAAATAAAGAGGTTGGACTATATTGTCTTTAAATCCCCTTCCAGCTCTAAATTTATTACCTAGTTCCTTATATCTGTCATAAGGACTAGCATAATACAGGGCACACAATAAAGACTAAATTAATACCTGTTGGCTTGATCTGAAACTGAATAAAAATTTACCACATGAAAGTCAGAAGGAAGTCATTAGCTCTGCCAAGAAGTCATTGTTCTTTAATAAAAGCTGGAGATTTATTATCATTCATTAGCTGTCAGGATCTTCCTCATCAGCAATTGCCGCCACCACCTCTCCTTGGCTATCACTTCTCTTGCCAAGTTTGTCATGTTTCTGAAACACATAGATTATACATTTAGAACTGGAAGGGATATTAAAAGCCAGCTAGTCCAATCCCTTAATTTTTAGATGAGGAAACTGAGGCCTAGAGAAGGTAAGTGACTTACCGGTGTTCCCACAAGTACCAGAGCCAGGATTTGAACCCAGGTCCACCAGCCCCAAATCCAATGATCATTCCATTGCACCATACTGTCAGAAAAAAAAAATAAAGGAGACCAAATATGATTGTTCCTAGGACGTATGTTCATGGGATTGACCTGCCCCCATGCAGAGTTTGAGTCTAAGTGGGCTTTGACTAGCCATTAAAGTTTAGTACCACTTGTTAGAGCAGAGGTATATTTCAGAACCCAGTTCAGTTGAGTCCATTTATGTACCAGGAGGGCCATGGCCATAAAGAACCAATGAGGCTATCATTAAGCAGGTGTGACAGCCAAAGAGTTGCTAAACTCAATTGTCTTTGTAATCAAAACTGCCTGGTTGCCCCAACTTTCCCTTCATTAATCCGTTTTTTTCTTTCCTTGACTTTGTGAACTTTGGACATCCTTGTCTCCTTCCGCAAGATTCAATTACTCCAATTCTTGTGAAACATCTGGGCTTTAGAGCCCTGTGAGATCTTTGTCTTGTATAAGTTGATAGGCAAAGAAGCTGTGATTTCAGTGCCATGGGAACTCCTTTCACTGAGGCATATCAGACCTCCTATAACTTAAGTCTTCGAGAAGTCCATTGATTTGCCTGTGCTTATAGAACTAGTGGGATAGTTCTATATTTATATAGATACGGTTATAGAGGTGGGATATGAACTTAGCTCTTTCTGACTCTAAACTGAGCATTCTACCTGGTGCCTGATAACTAGTCATCTTCTTCCCTATTTGGAAAAATCAGGGGAAAGATCTTTCACCAAGAAGTAAAGCCTTCTGCTTAAAGATTTCTGCCAGGCTCTGGATGATATGGTCCTCTTCCATACACTATCTTCTACCAACCAACCAACAATTAATCATTTGCTCCCAGGTTACCTCAAGATAAGACATCACCCTCTGGTTCTGATGTTTTAGAGACCTCTGTTCTCTAGTAGCTGCCTTGGTCTCTGTCTGCATAACCCAGGAAGCAGACAACAGTATGATCCCCATGGGTCATGGTCTAGGGTATATTCACTGTTAAGAAAAAAAAAATCCAGACTCCATTATCTTTACATCCTGCTTAAGGTACATGTCTACTTTTATTATATTGAATTAGCTTGTTTATCTAGACTCTATCTGCATGAAGCTTAAGGGGATAGGAGAAGTAGAATTTTTTTTAACAAATTCAAATTTAAGCACTGACAAACTCTTTGGGACATTGGTCTATAAGGTGACAACTCCAGCCTTGTAATAAAATAACTAGCTTTGATATGGAGTAGAAATAGCATTGTAATACATTTGATTAATTCATGGATTTTGATATACTACTCCCTGAAACAGCAATGTCAAACATGAAATGATTGATAAGATGGGATTCACCTGGGCCAGTAATACTAGTTGAAAAATAGGTGTCTTCTCTCTTGCATTTTGGAGTATGCCATACTTAAGAAGTCAGTAGTCTAGCTACAGACTGAGCCCAGACAGAATAATAATAATAAAAAGGATATATGATTGTTTTTATGTAACAAAAGTGAATGTTGATGAGGTCATGGAGTTTAACAAATACTTGTTTGTGAAAGAGTAAAGAAATAGGAAAGTAAGAGTTTGGAGAAAGGCAAAAATCAAATGCTGTTACAAAAAGAAATAAGGCTCTAGGGAAAGTGCATTTTGGAAGACGGCTTAGTTTCTGATGCCCTTGACCCACATTTAGTCTTCCTTTTTGCTGGTGTCTTTCAAAAAAAGGGATGGTGTTATTTAGTGTGCAGGTTCAGTTTGTAAATATAGTGTCATGAAGATCATTGGTTCTTTTCCTAAGGAGGCACTTTCTCATTATGAAGACAAGGGCCCTATAGATTTGTTTCAAGTTTTTGAGGCCTTTGGCTTAATTTTATTATATTCTTCCACCTAAAAAATGCTATTAGAGAAAGGTACAACTGAAAAAAAAAAGATGTAGAGACAGCAAAAGATAAACAATGGACAATCTATGTGCTTATTGGTTACCACACAGTGGTTAGAGAATGAAAGGAACTTTGGATGTCCCCACTCTGATGTGTCTATGAGAGAACATAGATAAGATGGGTAGAAATGGATAGGTTGTAATTTAAATCATTGAAAGGAATGCCTCCACTGATGAGAGAGCATAGATTTATTGGAATATCATGATACAGAGGCCCTCTTGCTCTATCTGCCCTTCTTTCACAGAATGATATTCTCTCCATATTCAGCTTGTCCTTCCATAACCTCCCCAACCTCTGCAATGAGCTCACTGCATCAAGAATCAGTCAGAGGTCCCAGCCAGTAATGAGCCCACAGAGACACAGAAAAATCACTAAACTCTAGGAATTCTAGTTTATGGAGGATCCCAAGTTCCATGCCCCATGATCTGAGAGAGGCATGGAATTAGAATTCCCAAATCCTTTATCTAGTGATTGACCCAACTGGATGCATGAATCAAACATCAGCCAGGAACTTTAATGTATTGTCCATACTTCCTACCCCATTGAGAGGAGGCAAGGGCAAGGAGAGATAAGCAAAATGAAACTGGTCATTTCCTAGAACCCCTGGGTCCGAAGTAGCTTCTGCACCATCTGGAGACTGCTGGGGTATGGAAGAATCTGCAGGTGGGTGCTTCCAAGTGAAAGATATTTTATAATACATTGCTTTTTTCTATTACATATTGTTTATTTGCCTGTATTAATTCTAAACCAAGAATAAAAAATATGAATTTAGGTATGATTTATTTACTCACGTGGGGAGTTCGATCCAAGAAGGCAAAGCCATACGACTAGAGCTCCTTGAAATGTAATACACTTAAGGAAGAGGCTGGGTTTGCCAAAGGTAGGGGCCCTTGATTGAATAAATCTAAAGCAATCCATTCCTATTAGATAAGAAGTCAGTGGGTCCCTGCAGAGAGAAGTTGAGCTGAGATATAGAAGATCATCAACCACTCTGTGAAAACCGCAGAGAGCTTGGCATGTCCTCTGGACTGTTGCCCAGCTGGGTGGATGCAGATAATCCCCAGGGGAAAAGTGGAATTTCTTAGGGCCAGATACTTCTTCGGTGAACAGAATCAGACAAGAAAATATCAGTACTACATGGTGGTTAAAAGACTATTGGCATTAGCTTTGGACTTGGTAGCCAAAACACTTGGTCCTGAGTCTCAGTTCTGTTACTTACCAGCTGTGTAATGATGGGGAACCCAGACTCTCTGAGCTTCAGTTTTCTCATCTATGAAATGAGGATTATAATAATATATACTATCTACTTCAGAAGTTGTGAAGAAAACACTTTTGGAAAAGCTGAAAACAGCATATGCATTATTATTATTACTGTTAGTAGTAGTGATAATATAATTATAGATATTATATATTACATATTATAATATACCATATCAAATATAAACCTAATCACTGGTAATAATAATAATAACATTGCCTTCATTTTCTCTGGTTAACTATTCTTCTTTATCCTACTCTCCAATTTCTTTGAGCTACAAAGGATTGGAGTTGCTTATTTTATCTTGATGAAGGATCTTAAAATTTTTGCTTCATAATTACAAGTAGCTTCTAGAGAATACAGAACTTAGTTTCTGGGTTTTGGGCATATTAAATAATTGGTCAGATTCTGTTTTCTTTTATCAAGATTGAAAAAGCTCAAGTTGGGCATTCAGAAATAGATCAGGATTTGCAAAATATAAATAATATTTAGGATTTTCATGACGTACGATCTTTG